AAGAAACTTGAATCAGGAACGCACTCTCGGACAACCACAAGGGAAACCACGACAGGACACTGAGCAGGATGAGAACTGGGCCTAAATACCCCTCCTTTCTTTCTGATAGGCTGTAACCGGCCTTTGACCCCAAAGTCAGTTACCAGGTTCCCATTTGCATAATTGCTGCTCAGCATTAACCCTTCTGTGGATTTGGTTGCTGCTTGGCACAACTTTTCCTGTGTGGACAGTAAATGCCATTAACCACATTTTTATAAGCGGATAAATACGTGACACAACACGCATTTGCTTCAATTTCATTTCCACCTGCAAATTTTATGGTTTTTTTTAACTCTTTTGTGTGAGTTTAGGTTTACACAATGAAAAATGTGAAGTAAAATTAAATAAAAATAGACAGATGTCTGTGAGAGATCAGTATAAACCTGCGCCATGGTGGAAAGGAATATTTAAAGAAAAAGTTACATGTGGTTCCTCCAAACCCTTATAGCTGGTGAATTTCGGTCTTCCTACTCAACACCGTGGACAAACAGAAGATTAAATAATTTTACTGTGTAGTGAAATGCTTTTTTAATATTGTGAGGATGTGGCATGGGCTTTACCTGCTCTTTTACATGCACGTTAGGCTGATTTTCTTAAGGAGGGTGTTTTGCACACAATGTCCATGCCTTTAAAACAAGTAATTTGTGAAGTTGTTTGTCCATGACTGTTGCATGAAAATTGTATGGATTTCACTCACTGTACAACTCTCACAACTTGAGAGCCAGGTGCATATAACCAGAAATGATGCAAATACTTCAAAGACAAAACTCTCCAGTTATTAAAGCACAATAAAATCATATCATAGCATGGAAAAATGTAAAACAAAATCACCATGGAAAAAATAAAATACAAAAGACATCCTGATCCCCCTCTCTACACCGTATCTCTTTTGTGCTATACAAGGACTTGTTTTCTGTCAAAATCGATGTGTTTTTTCATGCGTTCCAAATCCAGATTTCAGATTGTTCATCAACAAGGACCTTGCCTCTGCCTATAGTGACCAATATATATAGCACCATCAGGAGAGAGGAAGGTTTGTTGTGTGTGCCAGACCTTTGTTAGGTCAAAAAAATGTGTCACAGCATTCTCTTCTACAACCCATCAGAGAACTACTTGTTCTAGTTCAAAATTATTGTGGTATTGAAGGATAGATGATGGTTTGTGAATTATTCCTTCAATTCCATTTAAGTGAAAAAAATCAGGTTTGACAATGAAATATGCCAATGCCATTGTCTGTTAAGAAGAAGTGTAATGCAGAATTCCACATGGTGCATATGAATCCTCCATTAAGGGAGAAAATACGCTGAAAATCTTTTACAACCATTTTTCTATTAACTCTAGACGACAGTTTTGATAATTATATAAAATAAGGACATTCTATGATATTGTTCTGAACATGTATGTTTCAGTTAAAATGTATTATTTGCATTCAAAACAATGAGCTACTATGGTAACAGCTAAAGTGTTTCTTTTATAACTGTTAACCTTGGTATATAAAAATTCCCAAATTTTAATAATGATTCATTTTATTTTGTTCTGGTCTCAGAGTGCCACCTAATGGAACTATGGCAAAGACTTTTATGCCAGCCCGTGATATTATTACATGATCCATTTATTGTGTTTTTGTAAGTAAAATGGTTGAGGTATAGTATGGCAAATATTTGTGTATTGAGAAGTAACTGAAATATTTAGGGTCATTCACTAAAGCATGAATTGTTGGGAATTCCCTGTGAATTTCAAATTTAAAGCCAAAATAGCTAACGGGAAGCACAACTGACTTGTGCATAAACCTGTGCCATGGTGGAATGGCATATTTAAAGAAAAAGTTACATATGGTCCTTCCAGACCCTAAGAGCTAGTGAATTCTGATCCTCCTCCTCCTACCTGTAGGCATGCAATAGAGAAATACTTTACTATGTAGTGATACGCTTTTTAATACTGTGAGGATGTAGCATGGGCTTTACCTGCACTGTGATACATGCAAGTTAGGTTGATTTAACGCAAGTAATTTGTGAAGATGTTTGTCCATGGTGTTTGCATGAAAACTGCTTGGATTTCACTCAATGTACAACTCTCTCACAACTTAAGAGCCAGACGCATTTAAATAGAAATGATGTTGACACTTCAAAGCTAAAACTTTTCCTTTATTGCAGCACAATAAAATCATACTGTAGCACAGAATATTGTTTACAAAAATTACCATGGAAAAAAGATATACAAAAAACACTTTGAGCAATTAATAATGATCAAATGTTTCCAGGTATTCATATGTATCCTGGTGGCATTACTTGTGGTACAGCTTACTAAATGTTGCAACAGAATATACAAAAAAAAATGGCAGCAACTGAGCTTAATGCCCACATGCAGAAAGTACAGTTAAAATCATGTTTATCTAAAATAAAGGTATTCATATTTATCAATTTCTGGAATGCTAATGTAATACTAGAAGCAAAATAGGAGAACTCATTCAGTTCCCCTTCCTAACAGAAGAAATGGTATGACCCATTATAACTTCCTTTACTGTTTGGAAGGAGTTGGAAAACTGAAATTTTCAGCACATTTGTGGAATGAGTTCCTGGTAGAAACATTTGTTCTATTACATGCAGTCATTCCTGGTTGATAAATGAAGGTGACTTAAGCTATTGACTAAATTAAAGTAAAAACGTAAATACTCGATTTTGGGAGGGAGAAGGGTAAAGGGGTAAGCTTTAATGTAGGGCTTCTGACACTGCGCTGTATCATGGTTGCTGCTGGGCAAGTCAATCTTACTTGTGTTACCTGAGAATTAGGTCATCTGGAGGAGTTATGTTAAGTAAACATTATGAGGTTATGTAAAAAGAGCTACTGTGGGGAAAACAAGTTGTAAAATTGCAGAAGTGACTATGGCAATAAGTGGGACACTCCTGCTGCTTGGTCAGCTCTGTAATCTCTGGTATATGTTCATTAATTAATTACCTGTGTGAAAGTCAACAAAGAACATACACTAGGTGCACAAAGGTAAGACTAGATAAGTAATTCTTATATTAATATAAACCATCTAAGTATTGCAAACTGCACCAATAAGTAATTTAACCCCTTAAGGACCAAACTTCTGGAATAAAAGGGAATCATGACATCTCACATGTCATGTGTCCTTAAGGGGTTAAGCATTATAATGCATGGTGAAGTATCGTAAAGTACTACAATTTTTAAAAAAAATTCAATTATAGATATTACAATTTTTGCAATTACAATTTTATTCTAATCATCAGTAAGTCCTTTCACAAGAAACTATAACACAAAAGGATTTCAGTTCAAACTTAGCCCTTTCTGGCATGTAAATAAAACCACAGAACCCACTTTAAACCATACATGTGTATTTGTTGTTCATAAAGATACATTTGTGGTTTTAATGTCCTGGGATTCAGGAAGGACCTCTGATTAAGGGAATAGTGCAATGTGTGCATGCAATAGTATTATTATTCTAAGCTCTGCTAAATAATGGGATCCAGTTCTATCAAATGGAAAACGTGGATTGATCAACTCTTTGTGGTTGCTATCCTTCCTATGTAAGACCAATTTATATTTCCACAAGTTAATGGTTTTAAATTATTGTTTTGTGGTTATTTTGATTTGACGTCAGTGTTGACTGGCCATGTGTTCTAAGTACTCGCATGTTTTGGTTTTAGGGGGTTGCAATTAGCTTTTTAAAATATTTGTAATGACATCTACACTGACCAGCCACAACATTAAAACCACCAGCCTAATATGTAGGTACTCCTTGTGCTGCCAAAACAACTCTTGTGCATTAAGGCACAGACTCCACAAGACCTTTGAGCATGGCCTGTAGTATATGTCACCAAGACCTTAGCAACAGATGCTTCAAGTCTTGCAAGTTGCAAGGTGAGGCCTCCATAGATGTTATTCCAGCATATCTCAATGCTCAAACTAAACGTGATTCATTAGACCAGACAACCTTCTTCCATTACTCAGTGGTCCAGTTCTGATGCTCAGGTCCCCATTGAAGACGTTTTCCGCAGTGGACGGGTTCATCATGCTACTCTGACTGGTCTATGACTAAGTAGCCACATAAGCAGAAAACTGTGATACACTGTATCTTCTGACACCTTTTCTGTAATGGCCAGTATTACGTTTTTCAGAGCTACAGTAACTCTAATGTCTGATCAGACCAGACAAGCTAGGCTTTGCTCCCCACACATTAATGAGCCTTGGGCACCCACTATCAGGTCCTTGTCCCCTCACCTACCTTGCGCTCTCATGCCTCATCTCTCACTCACTCTACGAGTACACCGTGACAGAGCGCAACCCCCCAGGCAGCATGGTTGGTTCAATCACCCACGGCCATTGCTCACGTTCATGAGAACAGCACCTCTGTTCGCACGAAAGCCACTTACCAGATACAGAAGGAAGAACTTCATGCGGACAAACGCCACCTCTGTTCATGCGAATGCTACTCACCTATACTGCAGACAGAACTCCATTTGTACGGACGCCGGCTCCCGAAGACAGCAAGAGCAGTAGTCTGTTCGTGAGAACGCTGCTGCTTTCATGTGCGACCACACTGAATGAAGAAATTCAGGAGAATCAAAGGGCGCATGCGCTGACACAGAGCCTTTTAAAAGTACAGAAGGTGGAGGCCAGGGTGGAACCTCAATTTACAAGACCACCCACTTTCCCTGTTTAAGATGCACACACCCTTCACTCTTCGCTCAGTTGTAATGTGCTCCTGATTGTGTAAAGACCTTTAGAGACTCTCCTGTTGTATCCTGATCCTGTTCCTGATTTTGACCCTTGCCTGTATCATTGGTTCTGAACCTGTGTTGCCTGTCCTGACCTGTGGATTCCCCGGCTATTCTCTTTGTCTAATCCTTTAGCACTGCAAACTTGGTTCTTTGCCTTCAGCATCTATCTGCATCCTGGGCTCCGACACCCACAACCCTGATGTCAGTTCACTTGTTGTCCTTCCTTACACCACTTTTATTAGGTACTAGCCACAGCATACCAGTAACACAACACTAGATATGCTATTTTTTAGATGCTTAGATCCATCATCTTACCATTACCGTCATGGCCAAAGTCACTCAGATCTTTTTGCTTGCCCATTTTTCCTGCTTCCAACACATGAAATTCAAGAACTGGCTGTTCTCTTGCTGCCTCATATTTTCCACCCCTTTACAGGTGCTATTGTAATGATATAATCAATGTTATTCACTTCACCTCTCAGTGGTTTTAATGTTGTGGCGGATCAATGGATATTGTTTCACTTTTTATTGTGTTTTGCCACATTTAGTTACTGTAGTGTTTTCTCTTTTGTGTTATACACAGTATCATTGTGCATTATTTTTCTGTCATTTTTTGTCTGCTTGTACAGTGTTAATCTGTAACACAATACTTTTTTTTCTATTCTTTATTTTTCTCATAGACAACAGAGACTTTTGGGTTACAATGTGGCATGCAAATCAGTTTACAGAGAGAGTTGGGTTACACCATTGTAATATATCGTATAGTCGTTAAGGGTTTACAGACAGTATACATGCAAGCACAGTTACAGCCTTTACATAAAGCAATATTTCAGGGTGTTGAAGCCTGAGTGGTTATCGAATGTTCGAGAGAGCCTGGTATTAGTAACATACACCTTTCTCCTCTCTTTGATAATCCAGTTCATATAGAGACTAAAATGCCAGGTGTTAGTTGGGTATGATGCCCTGTCTCAGGTTCTGAGGATTTCTACTTTTTTAAGAAACCCGAAAGTGGGTTTCGGGTAAGAAGTGAGGGAAGAAGTTAGAGAAAGAAGAAAAATGAGAAATGCAGTAAGAGGTAAACAGGTCTCTGGTCGGCCACGGCAGAAAGAGCATTATCTAGAGTTAGGAAAGGGGTGGGGGGGGAAGAAATGTGGAGTGGGCAAGAGTAGCCTTAGTTGCAGTGTAGGGTGGTTATTAGTTATTCGTATAGTCCTACCATGGCTCCCAAACTCTAGAGAAAGCCGTCTTGGACCCTTAAATTTGCCCTGTCAGTTTATCCATGAGATAGTTTTCCCCAAGCTTTTGAAGGACCATGTGTATGGGGGGTGTGGTGGGTTTCAGCCAGGTTTGGGCTAGAGTCCGTTGAGCAGCCAAATGTAATTTTGTTGAAAAGAAAAGTAAAACAAGGATTAGTTAGATTAAAAACAAAAGAAGGAAGGTATGTAGAAGAGGATAAAGGTCTAGCTGACTGCCTCAATGAATATTTTTGTTCTGTATTTACAGATGAAAATGAAGGAAAGGGACCTCAGTTGAGAAAAAGGATAAATGAGTCATTTATTACACGTGAGTTTACAGAGGAAGAGGTTCTATTTCAACTGTCAAAAGTAAAGACAAATAAGTCAATGGGACCTGATGGAATACACCCAAAGCTATTAAAAGAGCTTAGTGGTGTACTAGCAAAACCATTAACAGATTTATTTAACCAATCATTGTTAACAGGAGTAGTCCCAGAAGATTGGAAGTTAGCGAATGTTGTGCCCATTTACAAGAAAGGTAATAGGGAGGAGTCGGGCAACTATAGGCCAGTAAGCCTTACTTCAGTAGTGGGGAAAGTGATGGAAACCATGTTAAAGGATAGGATTGATGAACATCTAAAAACACATGGATTTCAAGATCAGAGACAACATGGGTTTACTTCAGGGAGATCATGCCAAACTAATCTTATTGATTTTTTGATTGGGTAACTAAAATTATAGATCAGGGTGGTGCAGTAGACATTGTTTAGCTAGATTTCAGTAAGGCTTTTGACACTGTTGCACATAGAAGGTTTATCAATAAACTGCAATCTTTAAGTTTGGATTCAAATATTGTTGAATGGGTAAGGCAGTGGCTGAGTGACAGGCAACAGAGGGTTGTAGTTAATGGAATATATTCGAAGCTTGGACTTGTCACCAGTGGGGTACCTCAGGGATCTGTACTTGGACCCATTCTCTTTAATATTTTTATTAGTGATATTGCAGAAGATCTTGATGGTAAGGTATGTCTTTTTGCTGATGATACTAAGATATGTAACAGTGTTGATGTTCCCGGAGGGATAAGCCAAATGAAAAATGATTTAGGTAAACTAGAAAAATGGTCAGAATTGTGGCAACTGACATTTAATGTGGATAAGTGCAAGATAATGCATCTTGGACGTAAAAACCCAAGGGCAGAGTACAGAATATTTGATAGAGTCCTAACCTCAACATCTGAGGAAAGGGATTTAGGGGTGATTATTTCTGATGACTTAAAAGGTAGGCAGACAATGTAATAGAGCACCAGGAAATGCTAGCAGAATGCTTGGTTATATAGGGAGAGGTATTAGCAGTAGAAAGAGGGAAGTGCTCATGCCATTGTACAGAACACTGGTGAGACCTCACTTGGAGTATTGTACACAATACTGGAGACCGTATCTTCAGAAGGATATTGATACCTTAGAGAGGGTTCAGAGAAGGGCTACTAAACTGGTTCATGGATTGCGGGATAAAACTTACCAGGAAAGGTTAAAGGATCTTAACATGTATAGCTTGGAGGAAAGACGAGACAGGGGGGATATGATAGAAACATTTAAATATATAAAGGGAATCAACACAGTAAAGGAGGAGACTATATTTAAAAGAAGAAAAACTACCACAACAAGAGGACATAGTCTTAAATTAGAGGGACAAAGGTTTAAAAATAATATCAGGAAGTATTACTTTACTGAGAGGGTAGTGGATGCATGGAATAGCCTTCCAGCTGAAGTGGTAGAGGTTAACACAGTAAAGGAGTTTAAGCATGCGTGGGATAGGCATAAGGCTATCCCAACTATAAGATAAGGCTAGGGACTAATGAAAGTATTTAGAAAATTGGGCAGACTAGATGGGCCGAATGGTTCTTATCTGCCGTCACATTCTATGTTTCTATGTTTCTATGTTTCTATGTTGTTAAGCAATTGCTGTTTGGACCGAGTCCAATCATCAATTGCTTTGGCCAGTAAGAAGGTCCAGGTGTTCAGGTCAAACCGTTTAGAGACTATTCAGGTCATTCATGTCTGGACCTCAGTCCAGAATAATGTTACCTTTGGACAGCTCCACCACATGTGTTCATAAGTTCCCCTAGCTCCACAGTCTCTCCAGCAGAGATGTGAGGGTGTTTTTTTCATGTGATACAATTTGACATGTGTGGCATACCATCAGAACATTGTTTTGTAAGATTGTTCTTGTATTGTGACACAGATGGATGTTTTAGAGTTAGCCTCCCAAATGTCCAGCCAGTCAATAACCTCTAGGGTTTTCCCAAGGTCTGATTCCCATTTATCTATGTAATGTAACTCTCCCCAATCTTTTGTGGTGGGGAAAAGTTGGGAGTAGAGCTGAGGGATCATGCCTTTTTGATACATTTCTGCATTGCATATTAATTCCAAAAATGTCAGCTGGTTTTTTTGGCTGCTGTCTTGATAGCTGGTTGGCTAGCAAAGTCTCAGATTTGGAGATATCTAAAAAAAATCTGACAGGGTCAGTGTAGCTCTGGTTTGACGTTCTGTAAAGGAAACTATTATATCTCCACTATACATATGATAAATCCTTTGAAGCCAGCATGTTCTATGCCCCTAAAATCCCTGGCTCTCATGCCCGGGACAAACGCTCTGTTGCGGTATATCGGGGTGAGTGGGAGGGGCAAGAAATCAACTCGTACTTGTGAGCAGTCCTATCCCATATCTGGATCGTGATGGTCACAGATGGGCAGGTTGTACGGAGCAGTGCCCTATGCTCCTTTGGAGCCCAGATGTAGAATTGCGGGAGATCTGCTCCCATTAATAGGGATTCTAGATCCAACCAACATCTACTGTCAGGGGCAGGAGGGGAGAGTTCCAGAGAGCTATTTGTGCTAATTGAGCGGCTAGCTAGTAAAAGTATAAATGAACGATATAGTATGTTACAAGATACTCTATGTTGTTTGCCATTCTATACGAATCTATCAATAGCTTTATGGAGGGGGGGCCAGATCTTGTCTTATGATGGGAATAGGTAAGGCTTTGAATAGGAATTAAATTCTAGGGAGGGTGCTCTTTCTGAGTGAATCCTTCCTATCCATGAAATAGGCTTATCTGTCCAGGTTTCCATATCCAACACTAGCTTCCTTATCATGGGTGTGTAGTTCAGTCAGTGTAGTTGGGATGGGTCAGTTGGTAAGTTAATACCTAGGTATTTGATAGAGGTGTGAGAGGTGTGTATGTGGTGGGGGGGGTCCTAATTTGGGTCACATCTGCCGCCGAAAGAGTTATGGGTAGTGCACTAGACTTTTCCATGTTTACCTTGTATCCAGAGATAGTTCTATATGTTGTGAGGAGACGAGTCAGGGTTTGCATGGAGGCCACGGGGTTATGTTAAGGTGAGGAGTACAACATCACCATACTCAGAGACCATGATATCCTACCCTTGCGCCGTGTATGAAGAGATGTTCGCGTATCGCCTGTAGGAGAGGTTTAAGCGTCAGAACGAAAAGTAATGGGGAGAGGGGAAAACCTTGATGGGTGCCGTTTCCCAGGGTAAAGGGTGAGTAATTTAGTTTTTTGTTTCTTTTTATGAGTAGCTATTTTGATAAGGTAACCTGGCATCACGTGCTTATGCGCAGCCGACACTGTTGCCATAGGGCTATCTGGTGTCATATTTTCAAAAAAAATATGTAATTATCTGTTCACGAATGGTTTCTACTATATTTGGGTCTTTTAGCAAGGAGGTGTTTAATTACCAAGTCCAAGGAGAGGGGATGTGTAGTCCGCTAAGATAAATGGCAATGTCAGCATGATCGGATCAGGTTATCAATCCAATTTCTGTTTTCGTGACTTTTGAGAATCCAGCGATTCGTGAGAAAAAGGTCAATACATGAGTAGGTGTTGTGAGAGGAAGAATAAAAAGTCAAGTCTTTGCAGTCCGGATTTTGCACACTTCAGCCATCTATTAGACCCGTCTTTCAAACAACTCTTGTGGCTCAGAATAGCCACGCCTCTGCGTTTACGGTTGGCTCTGGCCTCGATTGTCACAAAGTTTGTATTATCTCGAATGGAAACCTGGGCAGATTTTGTCAGGTGCATCTCTTGAATAAAAGCTATGTCCGGGTTCAGTCGTTTAAGTTCCCTATATAGTGTACGTCTTTTGTGGGGGGCGTTCAGGCCTTTAGTATTGAGAGATGAGACCTTCAGGGCCATGCTGGGGCAATCAGGGAAGGTATATGGAACATTATCGCGTGGC